GCCCAGGAGGTCAATGCTGCAGTGAGCCATGATCAAGCCTCTGTACTCCAGCCTGTGCAACAGAGTGAGACTCCAACTCAAAAAGAAGAGAAAAAAAAAAGGTTGAAGAACACTACTGTAGAAGGAAGGAAGATAGAGAGTGTGATAAGGAGGGGTGTATAGATCTTTGTTGTATTTAATCTCAGTAGTGGATATACAGGTGTTTTTTAATAACTTTATTGAACGCTATGTTAGGCAAAGTCATTGTTTTGGGTGAAGTAATGAGATTTAAGGCTTGACCTTAGTTGACACAGAAGTAAAGGAGGGGAGTGGGAAGGCATTAGAGGGATATAAAATTATACACATTAAATTTATGCAGTCTTGTGTGTCAGTTATACCTTAGTAACACTCTGAAAGAGAGATTGGGCATTCATCCCAGAGAAAATGAAAATTTGTTTTTACAGAGAAATAGGTACACAAATGTTCATAGAAACTTTATCTGTAGTAGCCAAAAACTGGAAACTGTCCAAATGAACTTCAGTGAGTGAAGTTTTTAACAAACTGCTATGTTCATACTGTGGAACACTACTCAGCAATAAAAAGGGACCAAGTGTTGATACATGCAACAACCTGGATGAACCTCAAAGAAATTATTCTGAGAAAAGGCATTCTCAAAATGATATATACTGCATAATTCCATTACACATTTGTGAAATAACACATTTATAGAGATGAACATGTTAGTGTTTACCAGTAACTAGGGATTGGGGAAGCAGATGTAGCTATTATGGGTAGCACGAGGGAGACATGTGGTGATGGTTAAGTATCTCATGGTATAGGAACATGAAGCTATATGTGATTTTTTAAAAATTGCATAGAGTTGTATACACATACACACCCAAATGAATATATGTATAATGTGTCACATCTAAATAAGCTGTACAGCTTGTACCAATGTTGATTTTCTAGTTTTGATACTGCACTATATGAGTGGGACCCAAAAACTCCGGCATTTGTTTATAAAAAATTGTGTATTCTTACATATTTGAACTTCAGTCACTTTCAAAGTGCTATTCGTTTGATGCAGTACACTTATTGAAATGGTTTTCCCACTGTTCAAAACAGTTTGTGAACTCATCAATTTGGATGCCTTTTAGGGCTTTTGTCATTTTTTGTTTCAGCTTTTCCACATGAGCAAAACATTTCCCTTTGAGGACTTTTTTCATCCAGGGAAACAAAATAAGTCGCTAGGGGTGAGATCGGGTAGATAGGAAGGATGGGGCATGAGAGTCATGCCATTTTTGGTCAAAAACTGCTGAACACTCAGTGCAGTGTGGGCAGTTGTGCTCATAAATCACCCATCACACTGAAAGACTCTCCAAAAAAAATTTACTGAAGACGAATGCAGTCTCTTACAACAGTCTCTAGCTGGTACACTGATGCTGATGGGTTCCTAGAACACTCGCCCAGTGGGGGGAAACTATACTACAAGGGACCTGCCCTCCAAAAAATAATTCCGTTTTTTTGGGTTCTCCTTGTAGTTATACAAGATGCCAACATTAGGAGGTACATAGAATCTCTTTGTAATTTCCTATGAATCTTTAATTACTCCAGAATAAAATGTTTGAGAGAGAGAGAGACAGACACCAGTAACTAGCCCAGTAACTCTAGTGTTCAGGTATAAATACTTTCTTTTCACTAAAAAACAAACAAACAAAAAGGGCCAATCTGGATCTGGGGCATGAAATGTTCAAGATATGCTGAAACTATCAACAGAAAGCAAGAAAACTATCAAAACTATCAAAAATAGGATCATGTCAAAATGACTCTAGGATGTGATCCTGCTGCCCTAAGATGGAATAATTTAAGCCTCAATAATGATAATAACGTCAGTAAATTTATAAAATTATAAAAATGCATGTTGAATATTTTCAAATTCATGTCTTCATAATAATAATTTGTTGAAACCATAATTGGTCATTCTTTGGAAGTTGCTAGAGAAACAGTTCAATTTAAAAACTAAATTATAAAGGGAGAGAATTAGCATTTATCCTACATTGCTTATATAAACTATACCTCAAAGTAATTAAAAGTTGACTTGGGAAAGTGTCTCTTATAGATGTGTTCTAACTAATAAATGAAAAAGACATAATAGAATCAGAAAAATCTCTAATTTTTGCAACCCCTAGTGAATTTTAGTATTTGTCATCAAAGGCAGTTGTATTTGTTTCCTAAGGCTGCTGCAACATATTAGCATGCACCGGTGGCTTAAAATATGGAAATTTTTTCTCTGAGTTCTGAAGGCCAGAAGTATAAAATCTTAGTGTCAGCAGACTGCACTCCCTCCAAAAGCCTTAGGGGAAAACCAGTTCCTTGTCTCTTGCAGCTTCTGGTGCCTCCCAGCAGTCCCTGACATATTGCCACATCACTCTAGTCTCTGCCTCCACAGTCATGTGGTCTCCTTTTGTCTGGGACATTTATCATTGGATTTAGGGCCCACTCAGGTAATCTGGGATGATGTCCTTATCTCAAAATCCCTAACTTAATTACATCTGCAAAGTCCCTTTTTTCCAAATGAGGTAATATTCACAGGTTTCAGGAATTAGGACATGGACATATCTTTTGGAGGGTTACCGTTTAGCTCACTACAGCTGTTGTAATATCTTAAAAGGCAGCAAGTTAGAGGCAAGCCTCCTTGTGGAAGTAAACATATTACTTTGCCAAAAATAAATAAATAAAAATCAAGCAGGAAAAAACAAACAAATCCTGAATCCAATTAAGGCTCTCAAACTAAACCCCAATTTATAGGAAATACAGGAAACAGAACACTGCAAGGGTACAATCAACAAAATTCAGAATGTAGGAAACACTATAGAAAAAAACAGTTAAATTACAAGGGGTGGAGGAAGAGAGATGGATGAAGAAACCTATATATGAAAAGAAACCTAAACAGCATCATCTAGTTGCACTGTGGGGGCTTTATTTGGATCCTGATTTGAAGAACTATTTTGTTTTTTTAAAGAAACAATCAGGGAAATTTGAACACTTACTGGTGCTTTGTAAGTATTTGTTTTAAATTTTATATGGATATGTTTTGTTAAAAGAGCACTTGTCCTTCCCAAACCCAGGTTATACGATGTGGTTCCCTCACCACACCCTGAGACCCCAGACCATCCTCTTAATACCCTTGTAGTACTTTCTACATGTTTCTAAATTAATTTGATACTGTGGAACAGATTAAACAGATTTGATTCTCCCTCTATACTGTAAGATTATGTCTTATTTATCTCTGTATCTCCAGCACTCTGCAACCAACCTGCCATGGGGCTCACATTCAATACTTTTTTTAAATTACTGGGTTGTGTGTGTGTGTGTGTGTGTGTGTGTGCACTTATAAAGAGCCCTTGTCTTTTAGGTATTTACACTGAAATATTTATGGATGAAATGATATGTCCAGGACTTACTTTCAGTATAATTAGGGTTGGAAGAGACAGGTGGCTTAAAGATGAAATAATATTGACCATGATGGATGTTTCTGGTGAGGGAGTAGTTTTAGAAATTGGGTGATTAGTACATGAGTATACATTATTCTTGTTTTTACTTTTATATGTATTTGAAATTTTCCATAACAAAAAGTTTTAAATTTTAAGAGGTTAAAACCTTCCCCTCAAAAGAAACAAAACAAAAAGAGGTTTGTAGTGCTTGAGGATAGTTTTGGCAACTAGAGGGATGATCCTCTTAGCTTTTCAGCATGGTGATTAGTGAGGCTTCGAGGGCTGTATAATAAGCTTCCACAGCTATTCTAGCTTAAAACTGGAATCCTAGAAGTGAAAAAACACATTTCTCTTTGAGAATATGTTTATTCAGCCAGCCTTCCCTGACAAAATTCTCCCAACCACTCCTTATCCCTCTCACCCTTTTATCCTGGATTAAATACCACCTCCCTCCTCATACTCTCTATAAACTCCATAGTGTATGTTAATTGTGTAGCCTTTTTGGTTTCCAGTTTCCAGATTATACATTCCTTGACAATACTAACCTTGTTTGATTATTTTATTCATCTTTATGTGCCCTCATCCCTGCATTTAACATTAGACCTGGTAAACTCTCTCAATAAAAGGTTGAGTGAGGGAGAGAGAAACAACAAAGAAGTGGGATTGTGCTGGAAAACAAAATCCAAAATACATCTGCCATTTTTAATATCTCCTCAATAATCCCTCTTCCCAGGACTACCAAAGTGAAGCTACAGAGCTGCTTTGAACTTTTTTTCTTCTGCCTGTGATCTGGCAGAGGTGCTTATGGGCTATAATGTTCTGTAAATGAAAGATAAGTAAAGGGTAAACAATGTAGCAAAATAGAAAATGAGGTGTTGCTGATGTCCATTCTTTTTTTAGGGTGTATAATGCAATGAATTCTTTTCAGATGGCTGTCTTTCTAGGCTACTCATTTTGCTGCTTTCTGTGTATCAGAATTCTCCTTATGTATAAATTCCTTCCTAGTCTGTCTTCTTGGTATGCTTTAAGATGGTTATTAGAAAGCAGCCTCCTCGAAAAGGTTCCAAGAAGTACTCTAAAAATGCTATTTGGTACTGCGACAGTTTCTTAGTGGACGGCAATTGACCCCAAACAGACTTTCAGAGGTCCATAAAACTTTAGCGCTGGGAGAGACCAAAAACACCACTGTGCTTTCCTGTCCATACCCTTCCCATTACATGAATAGCTTTTTGTATAACTATCTTCTTGCTTTGTTAAAATGTTGCATATTGTCTAATCTTCAATCTGAGCTAGTTTCTAAACTATTTCTTTCCAAACTTAGATTCTTGAGAAAATAGGAAACATAAGTAACAACTGTTAGCTAAAATGAAAAATAAAATGTGTAGTATTATCATTTCTTTTTACTGTATAGTATTGAATGACTTCCCATTTCTATAGAAAACAACAGAATAATCTTAAACTTTAGAATGTAGTTACTGGACATTTTAATGTCACTAAAGAGCTAAAGACATTTTATTTTCTCTTTAGGTGGTACGGGACTACAATCTTCAGCTGTTTTTGCAAGAGAATGCTGTATTTCACAAACCCCAGCCCTTCCAATTCCAGCCTTGTGACAGTGATACTGTAAGGAAATTCCAGATTGTCATCTCATTTGTTGTTCAGCTGTGTTTGTGCTCAAATAACAGTTATCCTGGGATAGACAGACAGTAAAGACTGAGTGTGTCTCATCAGTTTTATAATGCAACTGTGAGGATGCAGAGAAAATATGACATTGTTTCTTTCTAAAATGTGGCTAACATACCCAGTGTCTTTATGCCAGCAGCTTTCTACTAAATGAGGTTAAGTTATAAGACAAGTTACCGAAAATCTGAAAACAACTGAGGGAAGAAGAAAAGACATAAAATATATTTATTCAAATATAAACTATTCTTTCTATCCATGAAATTACTCATGTTGTATCTTTCCAAAGAAACCAGTGGTTAAATTTTAACCAAAGTAGACTTAATAAATGGAATAATGAATATGTGCATATAAATATTTTAGTAAGCCTTATAAAAAATTATAGGCCTTTTATAATTCCTTTCAGATTTCTAAGAATGTTAAAGTACTAAATAAGCCCCAAATTGGCAATTTTTTAAAAAGCAGATATTCGCCGGGCTCAGAGGCTCAGCCTGTAATCCCGCACCTTTGGGAGGCTGAGGTGAGTGGATTGCCTGAGCCTGCGGGTTCGAGACCCGCCTGGGCAGGTGAGACCTCATCTCTACAATAAAGTCAAAAAATTAGCCGGGCATGGTAGCGCGTGCCTGTAATTCCGGCTACTCGGAAGGCTGAGGCGGAAGGATCACCGGAGCCCAGCAGGTCGAGGCTGCGGTGGCCGGGAGCGGCCACTGCACTCCAGTCTGGGCGACAGAGTGAGACTCCAACTCAAAAAAAAAAAAAAGCAGATATTAATTGTCCTTGAGTTTTCTCTATGATAATGTTTGCCATTATTTGAATTTTTAAACGAGGACCAAAATGCCAATTTGAGAACATAAATAATGAAATTTAACTTCTGCAAAATGAGAAGGTGCATGTTGGCATTACTAGCACATTTACTCAATGTAGGTAAGCCAAGAGGAGAGTCAAGTTATATTCATAAGGTCTTGGTAAATTTAGAATCAGAACCAGGGGAGTTTATGATATCGTTCTAGAGTTTAATGGTATCAGTGGTAGAAATATATTTACCAGAGATATCTTCATCACCTTTCTTATATTCTGTTAGCGACTACATAAAGAAATGTAGGAAATCAGCATTTCCCTCTGTATTTTAGCCCTTGCCCTTTATTTTAGTGCCCTTTTTAATCATCAACTTTTGCTAATGTCCTATAATTTGACTTCTTTGAAGCCTGAAAGAAATTAAGCAGAGCATTAGGTGATACTGGGTATGGACAAGTTTGTCAAGTTTGACTTAAAAATTGTGATTAGTTTGAGATTATTTTATCTTTTCCATTTTTAACAGAAAAACCAGAATAACAGTGACTCTTATCTCACTTTTCCAAAGCCCAACTACAGCCCTAAATTCTTTGTTTCTAGATACTGTGCTAAATATTCTTAGCTGTTGTGTCCCTGTCTACCTTAAAATTCTAACTCTATGCTGTTTTCTGTCCTTGTGCAATCTTTACTGGGCAGAGTTTAAAAGCCGCCCAACTGGTGGATATTGAGCTCTCCCCTGTCAGTGCTCTGAGAATGACCATAGCTGAGGTATATGGGGTGTGGGTCATGGGTGGGAGGGATGGGATGTGTGGGTCTGCATGTTAATGAAGGGTGGGACCTGGTGTTGGGATGACGGTCCTATATATCTGTTTAAGGGGCCTCTGAATGCATCAGCTGAGGCTTTCTGTTTTCCCTTGTAAATGAGGAATTTCCTTTCCTGTTTATAGTGAAGAAATTGAGCTGCTCATTTTTCATCTTGTCTTAAGCACCTTAGTTTTCCTCAGTAGGAGTGCTGCAAAGAACCTTAGAGCTAATCTTCTCTTTATTAAAAGGGAAACTAGCCTAGAAAGGAAAAAAAACTTGTCCAGAGTCTTCTAGTAAATAAATGACATGTTGCTGTTGCAACTGCAGTCTTATTGTTCTTTCTGCTGTGCTATTCTGTTTTCTAAGAAGAAATGTTCAGTACTTGGAGAGCATCTATTTTTTTTATTATGGAACAAGATAAATGCCTATGCTTTTATAAAAATTATTCCAGATTGCCACCATTGAAAAAATCTTTAGAATAATGATTTTGAAAATATTTCAGCTATAAAATATTTATTTGTAGTTATGTATTTATTTTGAGATGTGTTGCCCATGGTGATCTTGAATTCCTGGGTTCAAGTGATCCTCCTGTCTCAACCTCCCAAGTAGCTGGGATTACAGGTGCAAGCCACTGTGCCCAGCTCTATAAAATATTTGTGTGTGTAATTTTCATTTTGTTTTAAACTAAGTACTCTTAATGCGTACAAAGACTAAAATCCCAAATAATTATTTTTACTTAGCATAGACTAGTACTGTTCTTTGTAAGCATGGAACTGTAGTTTACTTGCTTTTCTGGTTTCCTCTTGTATTGGTAGTACAAAGCCTGTCATAGAATGGAGAGTACCAGTCATTGCTCGTTAACTCAGTCTTCCTGCCAGGTGAATCTAAGGCATGTAGGAAAGACTAATCATAATCATCTCTGTCTTCAGTTGTAGATCTGAAGTTGCCATTGTTCCTATCCTATTTTGAAACATATTTCAATTCAACAAACACTGAGCTCTTACTCAATGTGCCAGCCACTCAACTAGGTGCTGAGGATAGCTACTACATGCTAAACTACAGACCCCAGACTAGATGAGCTCACTGACATGTATACAAATAAGTAAACTACAATAAGGCATGTGCTGAATATGATATAGCAGCAGTCCCCAACCTTTTTGGAATTGGGGCATGATTTCATGGAAGACAATTTTTCCATGGACGAGGTAGTGGGGGGGTAGTTTAGGGACGACTCAAATACATTTCATTTATTATGCAATTTATTATTATCATTACATTTTAATATATAATTAAATACACAGCATTACCACTTCAGCTCCACCTCAGATCATCAGGCTTTAGATTTGCATAAGGAGCACACAACCTAGATCCCCTGCATGGTACAGTTTACAGTAGGGTTTGCACCCTGTGAGAATCTAATGCCGCTACTAAACTGACATAAGATGGAGCTGAGGTGGTAATGCAAGCAATGGGAAGCAGCTGTAAATGCAGATAAAGCTTCCTTCGCTTGCCTGCCCACCACTCCATCTCCTGCTGTGTGACCCAGTTCATAACAAGCATCATCTGTGGCCTGGGGGTTGGGAACTCCTGTGATAGAATACTATTGGTGCCCAGTGATTGGTACAATCATTGCATCCTGATATGATGCAGGTTTTTTACAACTTTACTGAGGCATATTTACATATGTAATTCACCCATTTCAAATGTATTCAGTGATTTTTAGTAAATTTGCTAAATTGTGCAACCATCATCATAAATAAGTTTTAGAACATTTTCATGACCCCAGTAAGATCCCTCATGTCTATTTACTGTTAATCCTCATTCCCACCCGCCTGCCATAGCAATCATGAATTTACTTTCTGTCTCTCTCGACTTGCCTTTTCTTTTTCTTTTTTTTTTAATTGGAGTCTCACTCTGTCGCCCAGACTGGAGTGCAGTGGCCGCTTTCGGCCACCGCAGCCTCGACCTGCTGGGCTCCGGCGATCCTTCCTCCTCAGCCTTCCGAGTAGCCGGAATTACAGGCATGCGCTACCACGCCCAGCTAATTTTTTGATTTATTGCAGAGATTAGGTCTCGCTGCCCAGGCGGGTCTCGAACCCGCGGGCTCAGGCAATCCACTCACCTCAGCCTCCCAAAGGCGCGGGATTACAGGCTGAGCCACCGAGCCCAGCTCTCTCTGTGGCTTCTTTACAGCATAAAGCACACCAACTCCCAAGGGAAAAATACATCACCTTTTATGTCTGGGGAAGTCACACACTTCTACCACCTTCACTGACAAGTCATAAGCCCACCCAAATTCAAGGGTAGGGGATTAGACTATACCTGTAGATGGGATGGGGTGATGACAAGTATAGGAGATACTGTTGTAGCCATTTTTAAAAAAACATAATCTTCCACAGTGGGCCTGGCACATGGTAAAGTATTTAATACATGTTAAATAAATGAAACAAAATGAGATTCACAATTATTTATTTTATCCCATTAGGGAATATTAGGCAAATATGTATAAAATAATATCTATAAAGCTGGGCTCGGTGGCTCAGCCTGTAATCCCGCACCTTGGGAGGCTGAGATGAGCGAATTGCCTGAGCCTGCGGGTTCGAGACCCGCCTG